GATTTCATTCTCATCACAAGAGAATATCTATTGAAGTAATTGTGGCACTCGCGTTGCATGTAATCTAAAATTACAAGCCCGGCCATTTTAATTCAATATAGCCAACCAGTTTTATCTTCCGACTAGTGATCCACTTAGGATCCCGAGGTTTTACAACCTGGAGGAAGAACAACCAGTTCCAAGTATGATTTTTTAAGATAGAATCTACTTCACTCTCAGTACCCTCTCTCGGGTTGGTCCACCTGTAGAAGTCACCACTTCTACATATGTTCGAGGCTCATTTTCTAACAACCATGTCAGAAAATCCAATTTCTTTTCTAGTAAACAAGTTAGATTGTGCGCATCACACTCTAACATGTACGTCAGAAAATATGGACCAAAGGATTTTTCAATCCTAGCTCTCTTGCTACGTCTAGCTTTGAGCTCGGGTTCTCTTTCACACCCTTCAACCATAGCTACGCCGAAAGTTCCTTTCAACGTGCTAGGTCCTTTATTGATCCTTCACAAAAATACATCTTCCAAGAACGATGAATTTCTTGAATCAATCTTTCGTGTTTTTATGTACATCCAAACTCATGGACTCGTATACTAATAACCAATACACACCTTTGGCAAGACACCCCCACATTTCGGGCATTAGTAGAAAACTTCCTACGTACCTACAATTCGTAAGAATTTCATGTGGGCAACCTTATTTAAAAGGTATTTACTTGTCCAAAGTATTGTCTCACCCCTCAAACTTTGAGGTAGACCCGAACTTATCAACGTCTTGATATTTTATGTTCGGCAACAACGTTCGATTGAGGTGAATTCCGTACCGTACGCTCGAGTACGACACTAACGCTTGTGCCGAAATCACCAATCGGTGTTTCATGTTCACCACATCGATCGTTCGTAACCGCGTTAATTCACAATTAATTTGGTTATCCATTTTATTCTCATAAAGAATAAACATGTGTTACACGTTAACACATCTCGTAGAAGCTGACAGATTAGCCTTTACGAATCCATTCGGTTTTTGACCGAAAGGCCACAAACCCGAATCATTGCTTCCAAAAATTGAAGCACGAATCAGTGCTTAGTAATGAAGCATGAAACATGCTATTCCAAGCACGAATCATTGCTCCCAAACTAACGCGCCGATTCCCAAGCAATCTCTATTGCTTTAAATTATAAATTCACAGCAACATTCGGTTGCTTAATTTATAATTCCAGTGCTACCTAGCACAAGGATTATTAGCTAATTACACAATTAGCCAAGCCTCCTTTCGTGTTAATCACATAACATTTTTTTGTAATGCTAAATTTAATTAGCCTCTTACATAATGCTAATTCAACATTTTGGACGTCCAGTGCTATTAAGCACCACAATTAGCATTTCAATAATGCCAAATTTAATTAGCATTTTCCATTAAGCTCAGGCTTAATTTGACGTCCCAACAATTTGTCTCAAATCATATTTCATACTAGTATAATTTGGAATTTTGATCAAGTTAAATATAACACAATTAACAAGAACAAATCAACCAAATTTCCGACTAGTTGAATCAAACTCATATAATCGTTCTTAGAATATTATATAAAATATTCAATACTTGAGCTGTGAAGCTCACGATTATATAGTTATCCCAATTTTTTGACAAATTGATCCTTGAAATCCGTATCGTTCTACATGAACTAGAACCGAAGTCCTTTTACGGGATTTCAAACATGTAACACGCTTGTTACATTTCGTTCCAGCCGTTAAGCCATTTTAGCATTTTCCACATAATGCCCCGTGATGCACTACGCGCCCATATTGAATGATTTCATACATTTGACATTATTCTAGTTAATAATTCGTATGTACCAAGATTCAACTCAATGGAACAATTATATTTTTATTCAAATAAAAATATTCCAAGGATACTACAACATTTATTCAAAATAAATAAATAGGAAAATACATTGGAAACTAATTTCCATTATTCCTATCTCGTAGTAATCCTTCAAACCCGTGTGCCTTGTTCCATTCTCAACCATCCACTCCACAAAGGGTGGTCCATCGCGCACATCGGGGGTACCTATGGTTGTGACCTCACTCGTCCAACCATCCACATGTTTTAAACATAGCAAAGTTTTCCTCAACCTTCTCACCAGGATGACGGTTCGCTTCATAATGGCATTTTTCCTTCTTCTCGTAATTTTCTTGAAAGCTAAGCTTCCGCTTGAGTTTCTTTCGATTGCGGTTGAAGTCATTTGTAACACTACCATAGTCCTCAGACCATGTAGTCATTACACCATCATAGGATCCTTCATGGCTTTTAGCCGATCCACTAGACAACACAATAGGTACCAATTGTGTGTCACCAGCCACAGGTCTACCGGATCGTGAACCAAAGTTCTCCAGAGCACCATCGTGTGTTTTTGTAACTCCCATGGAAATATTATTTCCAACGTTGCCGCCGTCAACCGGCATCACGGAATGTGCAACCTCGTTGCCGTTCCTACCATTTGAATGTGCACCTCCGGCAACATTCACGGATCCAACACTTTTGGAATCCATCGACTTGTTCATTATCAAAATTGTAAGGTTTTAAGATTGTTGGTGATAATGAACCAAAAATCGATTTAATATCGTAAAATAATATTTATATATACACACACGAAGTATATAAAATATTATTCGATATATTATATCCGAAATATATATATATATACACACAAATATATATATAAATCAGACCACCATGGTTATATGCATGAATATCTACGAAAAAGATATATACATATAAACCAAATGGAATTTATAATACACAGATTATAATTCCAACCAAACTAAAACATAATAGGAGGATTTTTGCTTAGAAGCATAATCCAAAACCGAAAGAAGGAAAGATTGGCTCGTGTTTGGGTAAGGGTTTTTAGCGTGAGTCAAGAGACCACTCTTTCCTTAAAACCTTATTTGCCACCTCCCAAAAGTGCTAGGAGCGTCGTGGCCTAGGTTTCCCAGGATAAAACGCGCTACGGTTCGACGTTTGAGCACCCAAACGAGCGAACCCGGCGAACTAGAGCAAAGGCTTGAACACAGCTAGGCAAAGAAAGGAGTAGAAGCAGAGTTTTTGAAGCTGGAAAATATGATTTCATGTTGTGTGTTCTGCCACTTCGTGCTTCTTTTTCTTATAAAAATCTGCTCCCTCTACCCCTTCTTATATAGGGATCAAAGAATGAATAGCATTCATCATGGCATTTAAATTGGTTTTAAAAACCAATTTTGTAACTCTTGAAACAACATGGCCATTATCCAAGATTTAAATTCAAATATTAAAAATTGGAATTAATAGAGGATTTAATTCCGTAACGGTTGAATTTAATCTCACAACGGTCTAAAAGCAGAAGGCAAAAAGCCTGTTGCTGGTTCGGCCCCCAAGGCTGAACCCATGTTGTCACATGTTTCGGCCACAGCCGAAACTCTAGTTTCACACGAAACCAAAGTTTCATTTCATGGGCCACCACGAAATAGTGAAATTATTTCACTTCGTGCACCACGAATGTAAACAATGTTTCATTGTTTCATTTCGTGTGGCCCCCATTCGTGGTGCACGAATGTGAAACAAGTATTTCATTGTTTCATTTCGTGTGGCCCCCATTCGTGCACCATGAATATGAAACAATGTTTCATTGTTTCATTTCGTGGGGCCCCCACGAAATACTGAAACCAGTGGTGGCTTGAGTTGGAAAATGAGATCGAGACTCTGCACACGAGATTAGGCTTGATCCAAGTCTTTTCGATCTCATTCTGGGATTTGATTTGCACTCCTTTCCCGCGCGCGAAAGAGAGCCTCTATGCTATACAATTTAATAAGCTTAACAAGAGCTCATGTATAAATAGTGGGGCAAATCCTCTTCCCAAACCAATGTGGGACAAAAGCTCACTTTTTCCCTTCATTTTCCAACTCAAATGGGTCTACTTTGAGAATCAATATCTCATTCACCCATTATCCGTTTTGAGCGTACAATATATCAATCTCTTCGTCTCACTACGAAGAACCCGAATCCACTTTGACCCGACCCAAATCGGAAGTGATCCCCACTGATAATTGTACCACAAAATAGCCACTTAAAATGCCATTTCAAGCTATTTTTTCCAACAAAATATACATACATGACAAGTATGGCACGTAGTGTATACGTGGAAGGCACAAAGGAGGGCTAGGGCAAGTGGTATTTAATGCCATTAACTTACCATCTCAAAGTATAAGAAAGCTTTGACCTACGTACATACACATTGCAGAACTTGGCAAAGATTGGGAAAGGAGACCCGTTACTTGGAAGTCTTTCATTTTGTTGCCCACAAATTTGGAAAAGAAGGGGAAGTCACATATTAAGAGCAAAGTCGAAGCAGACAACCGGTGAGGAGAATGGAACCAGGCAACCAGACAGAATCAACAACTTTGTTCAAAATCCAATCTTGATCGTAGTTGGCAAGACGGCAACTAGATCAATATTAAGAACATATGAGGCTCACATTATTTATCTCTCTATTTTAGCTCCTGTTGAATAGCTCTGTAGTTTAGAATAGTTGTTGTAACTACTTCTCTAGCTTTCCTTCTCTGTACACTATTTATAGCTGCATGAGCTTACATTAATAAATATCAAGTTCATAAACTCTATATGGTATCCAGAGCTTGAAATCTCCTACGAAAGAATTCTTTTTTTCTAATCAAGGGGCTTCCACCAACACCAATGAGATCATCCAGCAAAATGCTCCCACTCACTTTCCTATCAAACTCACCACCACCAACTTCCCAGTTTGGCGCCGGCAAGTTCACGCCACTCTTGTTGGCCTCAATCTCCTGGGCTACGTTGAAGGTTCCACCAAGGAACCAGCGAAATTCTCGGACGATGCTCAATCCGTCACCGATCCTAATCACTTAATTTGGTACCGACAAGACCAAATTATTGTTAGTACGCTTCTAGGAAGCTGTACTGATACAATTCAGCCGCTCATCTCGTCGGCCATGACGGCTCATGATGCGTGGCAACGCCTTGTTGCAGGTTATGCTAGTGCCTCCCGAGGACGTATTATCTCCCTCAAGGCCAAGCTAACCAGAAACCCGAGCGGTTTTCGGTCTATCTCAGCATATCTCAATGATATGCGAGCCATAACTGACGATCTTGCCTTGGCACAATGTCCGGTGTCTGAGGACGATTTGCTCGTGTACATTCTGACTCAGTTAGGAGAAGAGTACAACTCCATCATTTCTGCAGTCCGCGTTCGTGAGAAACCTCTCTCGTTGGGTGAGTTAGCCGATGTCTTAACTGACCATGAACGTCAGTTGAAGGATGCAGATGATTCACGCCAGTTGCTAGCAACTGCCAATGCTACCCAGCGGACTTCGTCCCCTCGGAACAAGCGACAGTCGAACTTCAATCGCAATGCTCGTACCAATACTAACAATTACAGAGCCAACAGATCGACTTGGCAACAAGGTGACACTAATCGGCCCACTGTTACATGCAAGTTTTGTAACTTTGCAGGACATGAGACGAAAGTTTGCCGCAAGCTGGCTAGGTTCCTGAAAGAGCATAACGTCCTCACCACCCAGATACCACCTACAGCCCAGTCTGCGCAAGTATCTCCACCCTGGATGTTTGACAGCGGTGCATCGCATCACGCACACTTCTAGTCTCGAGTCACTGCAGTCAATCTCTGAGTACAATGGACCTGATGAGGTCCGCCTGGGTGATGATAATTCCCTACATATTTCACATATTGGCCAGTCTGTTATCCCTACTCCATCCTCTGTCCTTACCTTAGAAAATATCTTGCATGTTCCTCAGTTACACACTAACTTGGTTTCCATATCCCAATTGTGCAAGACTAATCGTGTGTCTGTGGAATTTTTTGGTTCCCATTTTCTTGTTAAGGATCTTCAAACCGGGACTACGCTACTGAAGGGAGTGAACAATAATGGTGTCTACTATGGACCTGTTGCGTCTCACCCAACAGTACACACTGCGCAGTTGTCCTCTTTGTCTCAGTGGCACCAACAGCTTGGTCATCCGTCCAATAAGGTGTTGCAACGCTGTAATGTTCCAGTTTCTATGTCATCTCTGCGAAAATTCTACTACTCTTCCTGCAATATTCATAAAAGCCATAAGCTGCCTTTTGCCAAAAATACTCTAGTTAGCACTAAACCTCTACAGTTAGTCTATACTGATGTATGGGGACCTACGGGAAAGTCTATTGATGAGTTTTACTATTATCTAATATTTGTTGACCACTTTTCGAAATACATTTGGTTGTACCCCATGAAACGTAAGTCAGATGTCTTTACAATATTTACTCAGTTCAAAAAATTAGTGGAAAAATATTTTAGTTTTCTGATTGTCTCTATTTACTCAGATAATGGGGGAGAATTTGTAAAACTTATACCATTCCTGAACACCCATGGTATCTCCCATTTCACCACCCCACCACACACTCCTGAGCATAATGGTGTCGCAGAGCGATGACACAGGCATGTGGTTAAAACCGGTATGGCCCTCCTTCACTCCGCATCCTTGTCGTTTTCGTTCTGGACCTACGCTTTTCAGGCAACCGTCTATCTCATCAATCGGCTCCCCACACCGGTCTTGGGTAATCAGTCTCTGGTTGACATCCTGTTTCATCAGTCGCCTAACTATAGTAAGTTACAACCTTTTGGCTGTTTATGTTTCCCATGGTTGCGTCCTTATAACACCAAAAAGCTACAACCGAAGTCGCGTCCATGTGTCTTTCTTGGCTACTCCAACACTCAATCGGGTTATAGATGTATGGATCCCAGTTCCAATCGGATTTATGTATCTAGGCATGTTAGGTTTGTGCCTCATGTATTTCCTTATAAAGATTTGCAGGAAGCATCTACCAACTCACCATCTGCTTTACATGGTTCTGAATCACGCAATATTGTTTTCAAATCATCCCCTTTGTCTACACAGGTTGAGAACGTTCCCCCGGCTACACAATCACCTGTGCCAACCTTTGTTCCTTCTCCAAGTACGTCTTAGTCTAACGTAGCTGACTACCCGCAACCTGCTCTGGTAGGTGTTCCAACTCCAGTTTCAATACCAGTTCCAACACCAGTTACAACTCCAGTTCCAACACCAGTTCCAACACCAGTTCCAACTCCAGTTCCAACACCAGTTCCAACTCCAGTTCCAACACAGTCAGCTGCGTCCAGTTCGTCGACCACCACTGTTCCACAAAGTGGTCAACATGCAGGCCAATCCGTGTCTGACTCCCAGCCCGTCACAACCTCCGAAACTTCTCAACCACAGAATAATCTCCGTGTTTTTCCCGGCAGCGTCGTCCTAATCCTAGGTATTCTGGCTATGTCATTAACCAAGTCACGTCACATCCCTTACCACCCACTTTAGAACCTTCTACCGTCGCCCAGGCTCTTAAAGACGCTCGGTGGAGGAAGGCGATGGATGAGGAGTTTGAAGCGCTCCAACGTAACAAAACATGGCAATTGGTTCCCCGCGGCGCAGCTGTCCCTATTGGCTGCAAGTGGGTCTATCGTGTCAAGCATAAACCGGATGGGTCGGTCGATTGGTACAAAGCACGACTTGTGGCTAAAGGTTTCTTGCAGACTGCTGGCGGGGATTATTTTGAAACCTATAGCCCGGTTATGAAACTAGTGACCATCCGTGTGGTTTTGACTATTGCCTTGAGTAATCGCTGGACTTTGCGCCAGTTAGATATTAATAATGCGTTCCTTCATGGGACGCTGCATGAGGAGGTGTTTATGGAACAACAACAGGCTTTGTGGATCCTTCGTTTCCGTCCCATGTTAGTAAACTCACTAAAGCTCTATACGGTCTCAAGCAGGTACCTAGAGCTTGGTACTTGGAGCTTTCATAGTTTTTGTTACGTTGTGGCTTTGTGAAGTCACAAGCAGATGCTTCTTTTTTTGTCTATTCTGCTAATACTGTTATCGTTTATTTCCTGGTGTACGTGGATGATATTATCTTAACAGGTAATGATGTTGCTTGGCTTGATCGCTTTGTTGGCACTCTGTCAGCCCGGTTTGCTCTCAAAGATCTTGTCCCCTTACATCACTTCTTAGGTGTTGAGGTGGTTCCAACACCTGCTAGTCTATTTCTGACTCAGAGTCAATATGTCACTGATATTCTGGTTCGGTTTAAAATGGATGGTGCAAAGGCTATTTCAACACCACTAGCTACTTCGGACAAGTTGCTGTCTACGCTGTCTGGTGTAACACTGGTTGACGTCACTCAGTTTCGGCGTCTCCTTGGCTTGTTGCAGTACCTGGTTGTCACTCGGCCAGATGTATCTTATGCAGTCAATCGTCTTTCGCAGTTCATGCACTCTCCTACGGAATTGCACTGGCAGGCTGCTAAACGGCTGCTGCGCTATTTGAAGGGTACGGTTTGTCATGGCTTGTTCCTCCGTGCTGGGCAACCCTTGTCACTCAGTGTGTATACAGATGTTGATTGGGGTGACTGCACTACTGATGGTCGTTCCACCACGGCATACTTGGTGTATCTTGGTTCCAATCTCATATCTTGGAAGTCTGCTCGCCAGAAGTCTGTGTCGCGCTCTTCCACGGAGTCTGAATACCGGGCTTTGGCGAATGCTGCTGCAGAAGTCCTGTGGGTGAAAAGTTTGCTTCGTGAGCTTCAATTGCAGCTGGTGAAACCTCCGCTTATGTTCTGCGACAATCTTAGCGCAACATATGTGTGCAAGAACCTAGTGTTCCATTCACGTATGAAGCATCTGGCACTCGATTACTTCTTTGTTCGTGACTTGGTTGCTAATGGTTCGCTGGTGGTTCAGCACATCCCTTCAAAGGATCAGCTTGCTGACTTCCTTACTAAACCCTTGGGTCGCTCCGCGTTTCATCTCTTTCGATCCAAGATTGGAGTCTCCGATGGGTCCTCCATCTTGCGGGGGCGTATTAAGAACATAGGAGGCTCACATTATTTATCTCTCTATTTTAGCTCCTGTTGAATAGCTCTGTAGGTTAGAATAGTTGTTGTAAGTACTTCTCTAGCTTTCCTCCTCTGTACACTATTTATAGTTGTATGAGCTTACATTAATAAATATCAAGTTCATAAACTCTATAATCAATTGTAACAAACTGAGGGACTCAGCCGGTTTGTACATGATCGGTCATCTGGAGTGCTCGGTCGGTAATCAAAAGAAGATTAATTAAACCCTAAAAAAAATCAAGAAAATCAAATGATTAAGTTCATGATTTATAATTTTTGATGCTCAACTTTGAATGCTAGGTATTTAGTCGGGGTAATTATTTGACCAAAGTTTATGTTAAATTTTATATTATTTTATATTCTTTTAATACATTTTAACATATTCATAATGTATGTTTAACAATTATGCCAATTTTAATTGAGATGGGGTTCGAACCTAAGACATTTCTTATATAAATTAATGAGTATGTTAAGAATAATAAATAGTTAACGGAATATTCCGTTACTAAAGTTTATACTGTTAGGAACAAGTGTATTTAGATTTTGATGATACCAAACTGTCTTAGATTGTAGACCCCTATTTTTCATTTCTTAGATAAGTCTCCTATAACAAAGCCATGAGGTGTATAAATCCTGCCCGAGACTAGTATAATAGATCTACATGAAGACTTGAAGATAACAAGATGATCGAGAGATGCTTCCAGACGAAAGAAGGATTGAGCAAGTCTCGGATAGACTGCTTTTACAAAAGGAACCTTCATCTAAGAAGAAAGGACGAAAGATGAGGACAATCTTTCATTCCTCACTCCCGAGCGAACAAGTCAAAGACAGACTTGTAAAAGACAACACTTATTAAGTGAAGCAATGAGAATGTTGTCTATGACTCGGATGGGAAAATCATTCGGACAAAAAGTGTCCTAGGAATGATTTTCACAAAAGACAAGGAGCATTAAAAGTCTTGTACCATCTTGTCAGAGATCAAGGACAAAATCCATAATGCTTTTGGCTCCAACGGCTATACAGTACAAGTGCATTAAATGCCCAATGCCCACTGGGTAATAATCACTGGTTATTAGGTTTGAAATTTTCATCTCCCTCCAACGGATGAATTTTTCCACCTATAAATACCTCTCTTCACCATTCAAGAAGGTGCTAGTTAATTCACTATTGCAATCCAAAGAAAAGCTCTTCAAGCAGTCTCATTTCCTAAAGCTTTTCATAACCAGTGATATTATGAAGTTTTTCAAAGACATATCTATCTCCATACTTCACAACCTGAAGCAGTCTTGTAATTTCTCAAGTGAAGATCAATCTAGACGTCAAGACAAGGCTTCAACTTGTTGAAGAAACATCAGACTATCTTTCCAACAACTCAACTTAGGAAGAAGTTGATAGAGGCGGAGTAAACTCGAGGAGTTGAAAAACCTTCCAATTGGCTGTCCGGCTTAGTGATCAAGGAAGCCAACTTGAAATAGTTTGTACTAGGAGTGATAGTGCAAACCCTTTCACAAGTTGTGAAAGAAGAGTGGAGTAGGCTTCGTTAACAACTGAACAACTATAAAAATCTCTCTCTCCATATCTCTTTACATTCAGCTATTACTTTCGTGCATTACATATCATATCGACCAAACGCTAAGTTTTTGCTTTAACGAAAGTGTGCAAAGAATATCTAAAACAAAACACCATTTCCGTTGTGCCTCGCTCCGAAAGGAGTTACTTTGAAAAATCGATTAGAGTCTATTCACCCCCCCCCCCCTAGACTCTCTTTCGACCGGGACCAACATATACTAACGGAATTTAGGGTTATTTAATGGAAGAAAATAATATAATAGATGGTAAATAAGGAAAATTATTAAAAATACCAAAATTAAAATAATATGAACCATTCATTTTAGGAAACAACTACTATCGACATTTTTTTGTTCCAGTTAAGGCCCTAACATTATTGGCTCTTATTAGATTTGTAGATATATTCTAGATATTCTCTCAACACGTTATCAGCACGATAATTTTGTGGCGCTTCTAGAGCTCGTATTGGTTGAATTTTGACGCTATATATGCTTTGTCAAATATTCTTTAACATACTCATATATGACAGCAATACCATTCAATATCAAAGAAGTTACTTATGGTAATGTGGCTGCCCAAATTGCTCACACCACAGTGCCAACACTTAGGGTGTGTTCGGTTCGCACATGGGAATCGGAATTGGAATGGGTATCAAATACTTGGTAATGGTAATGGGTTTTGGTAAAAATATTTAGCATGTTTGGTAGTAGGGTGGAATGGGAATGGTTACTAATAGTAGTGCTTGAGATGAAATAAGGGAATGAAACCCTCAATTTATTTGGGTATGTGTTTTTCAATTAATGGGGTATTCGAAACGCATAGTAGTGTTCTAAAAACCTATCAACCAAACAATAACAATCACTTTCATACCCATTCATGTGAGCAAAACCCGTCAACCAAACACACCCTTACTTTATATTTCAAAAGCTACTGATGTGACTACTCATGCT